TGTTGAGGAGGTGTGGTGGTGGTGGTGGTTGAGGGTGTAGTGGTGAGGGTGGTTGGTGTGGTGGTGGTAGTGTTGAGGTGTAGTGGTGGTGGTTGAGGGTGTAGTGGTGGTGGTTGAGGGGTGTAGTGGTGGTGGTGGTGGTTGTTGAGGGTGTAGTGGAGGTGGTGGTTGTTGAGTGTGAGTCGTGGTGGTGGTTGAGGGGTGTAGTCGTGGTGGTGGTGGTTGTTGTGTGAGGGGTGTAGTGGTGGTGGTTGTTGGGGTGTAGTGGTGGTGGTTGGGGAGGTGTAGTGGTGGTGGTGGTGGTTGTTGAGGGTGTAGTGGTGGTTGTTGAGTGTGTAGTCGTGGTGGTGGTTGGGGGTGTAGTCGTGGTGGTGGGTGGTTGTTGTGTGAGGGAGGTGTAGTGGTGGTGGTTGTTGAGGGTGTGGTGGTGGTGGTTGAGGTGAGTGGGTGGGTGGTGGTGGTTGTTGAGTGTGTAGTGGTGGTGGTTGAGGTGTAGTGGTGGTGGTGGTGGTGGTTGTTGTGTGAGGGTGTAGTGGGGGTGGTTGTTGAGGGTGTAGTGGTGGTGGTTGAGGGTGTAGTGGTGGTGGTGGTTGGGGGTAGTCGTGAGGTGGTGGTGGTGGTGGTTGAGGTGTAGTGTGTGGTGGTGGTGGAGGTGGTTGAGGGTGTAGTGGTGGTGGTGGTGGTGGTGGTGGTTGAGGGTGTAGTGGTGTGGTGGTGGTGTGAGGAGGTGGTTGTGGGGTGTAGTGGTGGTGGTGGTTGAGGGGTGTAGTGGTGGTGGTGGTGGTTGAGGGGTGTGGTGGGTGGTGGGTGGTGGTTGAGGGGTGTAGTGGTGGTGGTGGTGGTGGTGGTTGGGGGTGTAGTGGTGGTGGTGGTAGTTGAGGGTGTAGTGGTGGGTGGTGGTTGTTGAGGGGTGTGAGGTGGTGGTGGTGGTGGTTGGGGTGTGAGTGGTGGTGGTTGAGGGGTGTAGTGGGTGGTGGTGGTGGTTGGGGTGTAGTGGTGGGTGGTGGTGTTGGTGGTTGTTGAGGGTGTAGTGGTGGTGGTGTGGTGGTTGAGGTGTAGTGGTGGTGGTGGTGGTTGAGGGTGTAGTGGTGGTGGTGGTGGTTGTTGAGGTTGTGAGTGTGGTGGTGGTGGTGGTGTGGTGGTGGTGGTGGTTGAGGGTGTAGTGTGGTGGTGGTGGTGGTGTTGAGGGTGTAGTGGTGGTGGTGGTGGTTGGGGGTGTAGTGGTGGTGAGGTGGTTGAGGGGTGTAGTGGTGGTGGTGGTTGGGGTGTAGTGGTGGTGGTGGTGGTGGTTGTTGGTGTGAGGTGGTGGTGGTGGTGGTTGGGGGGTGTAGTGGTGGGTGGTGGTGGTGGTGGTGGTGGTGGTGGTGGTGGTTGAGGGGGTGTAGTGGTGGTGGTGGTGGTTGGGGTGTAGTGGTGTGGTGGGGTGGTGGTTGAGGTGTAGTGGTGGTGGTGAGGTGGTGGTGGTGGTGGTGGTGGTGGTGGTTGAGGGTGTGAGTGGTGGTGGTGGTGGTTGAGGTGTAGTGGTGGTGGTGGTGGTGGTGGTGGTTGAGGGTGTAGTGGTGGTGGTGGTGGTGGTGGTTGAGGGTGTGAGTGGTGGTGGTGGTGGTTGAGGGTGTAGTGGTGGTGGTGGTTGAGGTGTAGTGGTGATGGTGGGTGGTTGAGGGTGTAGTGGTGGTGGTGGTGGTGGTGGTGGTGGTGGTTGAGGGTGTAGTGGTGTGGTGGTTGTGAGGTGGTGGTGGTGGTGGTTGAGGTGTAGTGGTGGTGGTGGGGGTGGTGGTGGTGGTGGTGGTGGTGGTGAGGTGGTGGTTGAGGGTGTAGTGGTGGGGGTGGTGGTTGAGGGTGTGTAGTGGTGTGGTGGTGGTTGTTGAGGGTGTAGTGGTGGTGGTGGTGGTTGAGGGTGTAGTGGTGGTGAGGTGGTGGTTGAGGGTGTAGTGGTGGTGGTGGTTGGGGTGAGTGGAGGTGGTGATGGTGGTGGTTGAGGGGTGTAGTGGTGGTGGTGGTGGTGGTGGTGGTGGTGGTTGAGGGTGTGAGTGGTGGTGGTGAGGTGGTGGTGGTGGTGGTTGAGGGGTGTAGTGGTGGTGGTGGTGGTGGTGGTGGTGGTGGGTGGGTGGTTGAGGGTGTAGTGGTGGGGGTGGTGGTTGGGGGTGTGGTGGTGGGTGGTGGTTGTTGAGGTGTAGTGGTGGTGGTGGTGTGGTTGAGGGTGTAGTGAGGTGGTGGTGGTGGTTGAGGGTGTAGTGGTGGTGGTGGTTGTTGAGGGTGTAGTGTGGTGGTGGTGGTGGTGGTTGAGGGTGTAGTGGTGGTGGTGGTTGAGGTGTAGTGGTGGGTTGGGGTTGGTGGTGGTGAGGTGGGGGTGTAGTGGTGATGGTGGTGGTTGAGGTGGTGTTGGTGTGTGGTGGTGGTGGTGGTGAGTGGTTGAGGTGTAGTGGTGGTGGTAGTGGTGGTGGTTGAGGGTGTAGTGGTGGTGGTGGTGGTGGTGGTGGTAGTGGTGGTGTTAGTTGGGGTGTAGTGGTGGTGGTGGTGGTTGAGGGTGAGTGGTGGTGGTGGTTGTTGAGGGTGTAGTGGTGGTGGTGGTGGTTGAGGGGTGTAGTGGTGGTGGTGGTGGTTGGGGTGTAGTGGTGGTGGTGGTTGTTGAGGGTGTGAGTGGTGGTGGGAGGTGGTGGTTGAGGGTGTGGTGGTGGTGGTGGTGGTTGAGGGGTGTAGTGTGGTGGTGGTGGTTGTTGGGGTGTAGTGGTGGTGGTGGTGGTGGTGGTGGTGGTGGTGGTGGTGGTTGAGGGGTGTAGTGGTGGTGGTGGTGGTTGAGGGGTGTAGTGGTGTGGTGGTGGTGGTTTGAGGGGTGTAGTGGTGGGGGTGGTGGTGGTTGAGGGTGTAGTGGTGGGTGGTGGTTGGGGGTGTGTAGTGGTGGTGGTGGTGGTTGAGGGTGTAGTGGTGGTGGTGGTGTGGTTGAGGGTGTAGTGAGGTGGTGGTGGTGGTGGTGGTTGAGGGTGTAGTGGTGGTGGAGGGTGGTTGTTGAGGGTGTAGTGGTGGTGGTGGTGGTTGAGGGTGTAGTGGTGGTGGTGGTGGTTGGGGTGTAGTGGTGGTGGTGGTGGTTGAGGGGGTGTAGTGGTGGTGGTGGTTGAGGGTGTAGTGGTGAGTAGTAGTGGTGGTGGTGGTGGTGGGTTGAGGGTGTGTGGGTGGGATGGTGGTGGTGGTGGTGGCTGAGGGTGTAGTGGTGGTGTGGTGGTGGTGGTGGTGGCTGAGGGTGTAGTGGTGGCTGAGGGTGTAGTGGTGGTGGTGGTGGTGGTTCAGAGTAAGCACGTGCCTTCACCAAACCATAACAGTTGCCTCTCACTCGTAGTAGGTACAGGGTGTTACCAACGTTCAGCTCGTCCATATGAATGTACAGTACAGTGAGTAAAATGGACTAGCTGACGACACTCTTCTCACGTCCTCAACGCCCTCGCCCCCAAATACATCAGGTCCCAAAACCCAGCGAGGGATAACAGAATGAGGTGGAGTGGAAACCTAAGATTTTAAATGGGTGAGACATCGTCCATACCAGCCGTGACCTGTGGAGCGTGAGGCTTATTGATCTAGTTACCTGGGAGACTACTTTTATGATGACGGGGTCTCTCTCTCTCTCTCTATCTTTCGCACTGTTTTCTTTGTTATGCTCACTCTTCATTTTCACTCACCACCACCAACACCACACCTTCATCCAACCACCACCACTACACCCTCATTCAACCACCACCACTACACCCTCATCCAACCACCACCACCACACCTTCATCCAACCACCACCACTACACCCTCATCCAACCACCACCACACATTCACCCAAACCTCCACCACACCCTCGCCACCAATCTCCAACACCAGTCCCAGCACCACCAACCTACGCACCAGCGACTCAAGAATACTTCTAACTTTACTCCATCCATTACTTGCTTGGCTTGTTCTCTCTGAAGACGATTTTTATAGAGCCGAAGCGTCAAGAAGAAACTCCAGCTCTAACTTATTGCCTCCATACAACCCTTCCTCACACAACCGTCTCATAAAAACACATCAATGCTTTGTGTTCCTTCGCTGTGCGTGGCCGTGGTTTTTATTCAAAAGACAACCGAAATTTGGTATGTTTATGTTATTGGGGATCGGATTCACTGAAATTTGTTATGTTTATGTACAGTCACCCAAAAAAGGCCTGTCGCGAACCACGATTTAGACTCGTGAAGCCGAAGCATTAGACACTGATACATTAGTCTGCCCATAAATGCTTCGGATTCAAGAGTCTGAATCTCGGGGTTCACGGTTCGCGACAGGACTTTTTTAGGTGACTGTACCTTCGTCAAAACAAACTCGGGCAACGTTGGGTACCCCAGGTAGTGTATTATAGTCGTAGATTAATTTATGTAACAAATACATCTAAAATATAATATTTTATGTTGGTAAGACAACAGAACATAGTACGGTAATGATAAGGTCACGATGGAATAATATGTTCAGTCTAGCTGAGAACTTGTTAAGTCGTACCTCAATTAACTGCTAGCTAGTACCTTGCTTAACTGCTAGCTAGAACCTAACTTAACTGATAGCTAGTGCCTCACTTAACTGCTAGCTAGTACCTAACTTAACTGATAGCTAGTGCCTCACTTAACTGCTAGCTAGTACCTAACTTAACTGATAGCTAGTGCCTCACTTAACTGCTCGCTTGTACCTCACCTAACTGCTAGCTAGTACCTCATTTAACTGCTAGCTAGTACCTCACTTAACTGCTAGCTAGTACCACACTTAACTGCTAGCTAGTACCTCACTTAACCTAACCTGTCCCAGATTTATTAAATTTCATAAACCGGACCTAACTATTCATAAGCAAAAGAAATCTCTCTCCACTGACACCATGTTTGACGTATATGAACGTACTCGACCAGAATGTGAACTGACCTGCTTTTGGAGACCCATATTAGCATCACTTAGGTGGGTCTGTTTACTTTCAGAGTTTGTTGGAGTGAAGAAGACACAAGTCTCCCTAAGGTTCAGACAAGTGTAACAGCTGAACCTTGTATTCGAATTTTTAAAACACTGATAAGTGGACTTGATAGACGAGTTTAAACCTATTCATGTGGACCTCGAGTTGGACAAGTGAACTGAGAAACTCAGAGCTAAACTAGTGGGAATAGTTCTTACAACAAAACCTAGAATAAATGGGCAATTATTTGATAATCCTAGGAACCTGACATTCGACCTTAGAACTTAGCATAAGATTGTGGACTCGACAAACGAGCTTAGAAAACAGAGTTGTGTGATAGAAGGAATTCAAGATGCCTGAGTCTACCGTCCTCTCCGAACTTACTCACGTTGACCCTCCCACAACTAACTACAACACCTTAAAGAATGAAGAGGAAAACTCAGGTAATTACACTATGTTTGTTTAGCCTTATGCTTAGCAGCAACAACGCCTTGCTGCTAACGCTGCTGCTTGCGCCTTATATTTCGCCTTGCGTCACAGCGAAAACGTGGATAACCACAAAGAAAGAAGAAAACACGAAGTTCCCAAGCGCTTTCGTGTAATTCACATCTTCAGGGGTGAGTACAGACTAAGGAGAAGTACAAATCAAGGTATATATATATACAGAGGAGGGTGAGATCAAGTCCACAATGGCCAGGTAATAGGTAATGACCCTACTAATCTTCAAAAAGCACCGCAGCAGTCGGTAGTCAGGTCAGAGGGTAAGCTGACCCAACCTTCTCACCTGGTTACAAATCTTCTTAAATACGAAATTATCCAGTTTGTACATACCATTACTCAAATTCATGTTGACGGATTCGGTATGTTTAATGAGACTAGATTCTATAGTGTTCCTACTGTCAATTGAATGACAAGGTAATATTGAGGAGGCATTATCACAGTCAATGCAATGCTTATTATCCCTCAAATGAACAAACAGAGCACTGGATTCCTGGCCTGTCCTAACATTATATTTATGGTGTTTAAGTCTAGTTACAAGATCTTTACCTGTCTGGCCTAAGTAAAACATATTACATTCCTTGCAAGGAACCTTATAAATGCAGCCACCTGTGTTGTTGGGGGAGTTCTTGATTAACATTTGTTTAACAGTGCATGAGATTTTAAATGCCACATTGACGTTCCAGGTTTTTAGTTGTAAAGGAATTTGAGAGAAGTTTTTGTGAAATGGTAATACTAAGAGATTCTTAGTAATGTTAAGGCATTTGTCTATGAAAGATCTAGGGTACTTAAGGTTCAGGCCAATATTATAGATATATTTATATTTCTCATCAATGAATTCCGGGCTGCAAATTCTCAAAGCACGTAAAAACATTGATGAAAATACTGACTGTTTGACTCTCATGTGGTGGGCAGAATAATAATGAATGTATGAACACACATTAGTAGGTTTCCTATAAATACTGAACTTATAGGTGTTACCTATTCTGTGGGTCAGACAGTCTAGGAAAGGCAATTTACAGTCATGCTCTAATTCCACAATGAATTTGATCGAGGGGGCTAAGTTATTAAGTTGTGGCAGGAAAGCTTTTAGGTCCATAATACATCCACTCTCGCCTGTATTAAGCAACCTTTATATGGAATTCTTTGAAAAGAAACTATTAAGTAATATTTTACCACCCTCAGCTGTCTGGTTTGGATATGTTGATGACGTATTATGTCTCTGGCCATAATATATATATATATATATATATATATATATATATATATATATATATATATATATATATATATATATATATATATATATATATATATATATATATATATATATATAAGATTGTGGAGGTGTGGCAATAAATTTATATTCAAGAGATAAGATATTTATGTGTGTTGATCCGTGGTACAAAGGAAATCAGAGTATCTTATTAAAAATTTGGACTGTGTTAAATTTTTTTGAAAAATTTGTCACTAGTACAGTTTTTATGTTGATTCTAATTCAACTCATTTTTTTCCGGAAGTAAATATTTAACATTTTATTGGCGTTTGTTTGCAGGAACATTGTCTGTTTTTGCTGTTGAATGAAAATGGTTGATAACCTACTACAGCCGAAACTTTGTTGACCCAGGCACGGGCGCAAACACCCAAAAAACTGAATCGTGGAATGCTGCCAAGCGCAAAAACAACAAACAAGCCGGTACTCATCGCCAAATGTTGGATGGGTACCTGTGCGAGTTTATGTGGCAAAGGGCAAAATTTGTCCGAGCTTATGTTACACCTGTAAGTCACAAATAAAACATTTTCGCATTTAAAATCAGTACGAAAAACTATCTTTATTGCAAGTTTCAAAAGTTGGAACACAGTCCAAATTTTTAATAAGACCCAATATTGTTTTATCTGTTCTCATTTACGAGAAATTAATAAATTACAATGAAGATATTTCAACTCAAGTTAAAATATTTTCTCTTATTACCTACGAAATTTACCGGGCACACCGAGGGAATGCTTACAATATACATATATAAAAAAACAATTTTGTTATATAAATTAGTGTTATAATTTACCCATATATAAGGATCGAGAATAAATTACAATTAAAATTTTTTAAGCCTAGTCAGAACAATGCCACCTCGCACTTCCAATCTTCTTAATAAAAATTATTTCATTTGGTCATTTTTTTAATACGTTCATGCATATGATTCATTAAAGACACTAGACCGGACAAATTTCACATGTCAGCATGGAAAAACTTAATGTTCTGCAATATTTTCTTGAGAAAATACTGCTCTCAGCGCTACGCAACAGGAAATTTGAAAATATCCTCTGAAAATTTTGTTTTAAGCTCTGCGAACTTTGGTTAGATAACCAGGAAACTATAATGGGGCCCGGTGTTGTAGCTGAGTGGACGAAAGGAAGTTTGGAAATTTTAAATACAATCGTGGCCGTGAAGTGAGAAGAGTACAGTACAGGATTAGGTGTTGGTGAATATAGAACTGTTTCAATACCTAAGATCAGGATGAACCCGGCCAGGCACCATACCCCATACCCGTGCCACTAAGGGCCTGGTCCTTCGTGACGGGAAAGGCGTTGACAAGCTCGAGAAAATGCAAAATAAAGCCCTCAGAATTATCCTAGGATGTCCCATGAGCACTAAAGTACTTAATATGAGGAAAGAACTAGGTATACCCAAAAGGAAGATAGAATAATTGAAATCAACCTCATGATAGCCCTTAGGCTTCTGCGTGGTGATCCTGATAACATTGTTTCCTTAAAATTGCTAGAATGTATGAACCATGGGACTGGTGAGTCTAAATGGTTCCAAACTACAGCTACACATATGAAGATGTTTGGACAGACCACCTGTACAAAGTTGAGACACAACAGCGCTTCCTGCCAAACTGGCGGACAGTTCCCTTCGATATCACAATACCGACGTATCCGCCTAAAAAATTAATTATACAAAGCATTTATCTCCAACACACTGCCAAATTGAGAGCTCTTGAACACATACACACTCTACAGACTGATGATAATATCACACAGACCATCTACACTGATGGATCTCTAAACACCGCCTGTGGGAGGGCTGGAAGTGCTATTGTTGTGACTCAACCTGACAGTAATATAATTGAGAAAGGAGTTAGAATTAACAACTGGGCATACACTCTGCAAACTGAATTAGTTGCCATACTCACAGCTATTAAATTCATTGAAACCACTGTTACTGACAGTCTCATCATCACTGACTCTCTATCCTCAATACTTGCCCTTGGTACCCTCGACTCAGGTTGTCACGCTCTTGTCTCTGAAGCCAGACACAAATATGCGTGCCTTGTTGACCGGGGTGTCAAGATCAAACTGCTGTGGATCCCCTCTCACATAGGCCTCATAAAACATGACAGAGTTGATGCCCTCGCCAAACTCGCGTCTAACAAAGACACCGTTGAATACAATTTGGGTCTGTCAAAAAGAACCCTTAAAACTGTAAAGAGGAAAGAACTTATTGATGAGTTTGACGCAAGTAGACTAGTGCAAACAGGCACTAGTCGATCCATAGTTTACCATGATGAGATGTATCAAGTGAAATATGTATATGGAGCAAGTAACAAGATCACTAGATTACAAGATGTTGTAACCGCTAGATTAAGGTTAGGATATAAGTACCTCTGGCAGTATGTTCCTCAAGCAGATGTAAACAAAACTAAATATAAAGTGAGTGGCCATACATATGGCCACACACCTGAACACTACGTCCTCGACTGTGTGAAGATAGAACCTTTTAGGGACAGGTCCAAGCACACTGTGTGTGAAATGGCACAACACTTCATCTTTAATGGCAAGATAGCCGACATATTAAGATTGTATCCACTTTTTTGCACTTAGTAACTATATCAGTTCTCATGTACAGAACCAAATACACAATGTGATTGAATACCTCTCACGCAAATGTGAATAACAAAGTGTGAGGCCAGACATACTGCCTCACACGCCTGTACTCACGCATTTGTGAATAAATTACCTTTTATGTATAGAACTAAACAAATAATGTAATTGAAATACTGTGTAACATTCAGTGCCATAATATCCTGACAACCGGGGTTAATTATTATGACCCGTTGTAAACTCTACTCTGTAATCCTTTTGCGCTACCGCTCACAGGATGAGTGTGGGGTGCACAATAAAGTAGCCGTTGTAAGCAGCAAAATCAAAATCAAAATCAATAAGGGCCATCTAGGCGTGAATTTGTTTAAGGTGTAGAAGCTGTCACCAACTCAACAACCACACCCTTAAGTTAACGAGATGCATGACCCAGTGTCAAGGAATAGTCCGAGAAGACCGGACAACTCGCTAACTGCACTGGCTAACCATTACCCCAGAATACGATTCGCAAATCGATTAACATCCAGGTTCCCAATGGACGAGTTGACGGTTCTGGGTAAACACAAGAAATACACTCTGCCACGTCCGTAGAGTGATACGGTATATATAATTTGTAATAAAAGTTTGAAATCCTGCTATAATAGTCGAAATAAGTTTATTTATCTAGAAACAGGACCGCCATTTGCAATAACGTCACACCCTACCCTGCAGATGACGTAGGGGTGGAGATACGAGTCAATGTAGAAGTAATGACATTGTCTGGACTTTGTTTTGAGAATGCCTGATGCTAGGTAAACATGGCAACGGTGCTGTTACTGTTTTCATGATTCACTAATGAACCACTGGTATATATCATCATATATATTAATTAATAGGAGAAATTTTACTTTAGCTACCATGAGTATTTGGATGTTTAGATTCGAGATAGGCTATATTGGGTAAATTGTAAGTTTTGGTCATCTCTGTACTGTACTTAGACATGCAGACTGGTTTTTTTTCTGATGGTAATCACTAGTTTTGAGTTACTACCACCCCCTTACCGATGTATGTTAAGCTAACCTTATAA